TAGAGATGAGGTCTTGCTGCCCAGGCGGGTCTCGAACCTGCGGGCTCAGGCAATCCACTCGCTTCAGCTTCCCAAAGGCGCAGGATTACAGGCTGAGCCACCGAGCACAGCTAAATTATTCTTTCTACAAATAGATTAAGGCAGGCCAGCGATTCTTGCAAATAGGCTGCTATAGAACTTTATGAAGCACATTCAGGGAGTTAGTCAAAAGTGTTATGTGTGATTTTTGGAAAATCACAAACTGCCAGTTTCCAGAACAATTATAAATTGCTAAATAAATAAGAGGGATTTTTTTAAAAATTTTATTTATTTAGTATTTTTTTTTCCAGGCAATTCACTCACCTCGGCCTCCCAAAGTGCTAGGATTACAGGCTGAGCCACCGAGCCTAGCCATAAGAGGGATTTTTAAATGTAGTTTCTTTTTAGAAGTTCTCTGCATATAACCCTTTGCCTATGTCTTCCTCTTCAGCTATGGGGAGGATTAGGATTACTATGGTAGGAAGGCAAAAAAAAAAAAAATTAAATTAAGACTATTCCAGCCAGGCACAGTGACTCACACCTGCAATACGAGTACTTTGGGAGGCGGAGGTAAGACCGACTGTGTGAGCTCAGGGGTTCGAGACCAGCCTGGGCAACTTGGTGAGACCTTGTCTCTACAATATATCAAAAAATTAGCCAGGTGTGGGGACACTCGCTTGGGGTTCCAGCTACTTGGAAGACTGAGGCAGAAGGATTGGGTGGTCCAGGCTGTGGTAGCCATGAGTGTGCCACTACACCCCAGCCTGGGTGACAGAGTGAGACTCCATCTGAAAAAATATATATATATGTATATATATATTTTCCACTTAGATTTAGATTCTTAGAGAATCACAACGTGAGTGCATAGCAGAACCTCTCAAGAGCTATGTCTGGCTAACTTGATCACCAAGGCAGTCACTAAAAGCAGAAACAGAATTCAGGGTTTGAAGAAAGACAAGTACAAGGAAAGTGGAAAAAGTTAACCCTTTCTGGTTCCCTGGAACTACAGGCAAGGTGAGGGCAATGCAAACGTCTTTCTTCCACCTCCCTTTCCCCATTGAACAGAAGAATTTCCCAAATGGACACCGAAGAACTGAGAATCTTCCTGACCAACAAAGTCCCAAAGACAGGAATAGAAGGAATTCAGTGACTACAAAATGTATTCCAGGTCTGCTAGTGTAGAAAACTTGAAATGAGTTATCTCAGGCTAGATGTATAACTTCCATTTATGTCTACAGGATCTCTTCCCCAGACCCGAATCATATTTTAAGTTTCTCTGACAACCAACCACCCATTGATATGCTCTCAAGATCGGACACTCCTATTTCCTAACACAATGTCACTCTTGTAGGCAAATCCATGGACTGATACTTATCTTCAGAAGAAAACAGAAAAAACAAACTCTGTAGTTTGGGGACAAGTCTTGGACAATGGCTACACCATTCTTTTATCTTTGCCCATAATTTCTAATCCTGGAAACTCCACTGAAAAACAAGACTATTTGCGGACCCTAAGGGGAATTTCAGGAGATTTTACTTCTTCTGTATGGGCCTCCTCATTCAATGCCACATTATAAGATCGCACTATCCTTCCACATTTCCTCATTTTTCCACTACCAGAGCTGATAAACCACTGAATCAATCAGAGCGGAATTAAGCCCAAATTATTTTTGGTTCCGTTTTTTTGTTGTTTTTTTACCTGCACACGCATGTTTATTGAAGGACTATTCACAACAGCAAAAACACGGAACCATTAAAGCAAAAACAAGCTGTTGCTTCTGCCACTACCTTTTTCATAATGCTGTGCCTGTACCTGGGACAAATGGGGAACAACTAATAAAGGTGTAGCCCGCCCTCAACTGCTCCTTCAGAGACCTGGATGAAACTCAGATCCAAGCGACGCGCTCACGTGACCCGTTCTAAACGCGTCACAGGGACACGTGGTTCTAGATATTTCGCCCCCTCCCCCTCAGGGGTGGATTGTTGACAACGCCGCCGGCAGTCACGTGATCTTACGTCATCCCACCTCCTTTCCCTGAAATCTCTGGCCCGGATGCGTTCCTCTCTCCCCACCCCGCCGAGCCTAAACTAGGAACGGGGAGGGAGGTGGGATCGTGTTTCGGTGTCGTCGTCTCTTAACTCACAATCTCTAGTCTAAGCACACACAACACTCATTTGCCGATGCTTTCAGGAATGAGTCCAAACGGAAATGGGCCCTCCCGAAGGGACCCCGGAACGAGCGCTCACACGTCCCGCCCCTTTCCCCCCACCCCCTCATCCGTGGTAGCGGCGGAGGGCGGAGGGATCTGGAGGCGGCGGAGGGAGACGTCATTGCAGGGTTGTTTGTGCAGTCTCGGCGGCGGCGGTGACCCACAGTGATTCGGCCGCCGCGCCGGGGGGTGGGGGGGCTGCGCGGAACTCTTTTCTTTCAGACTGACCGCGGGGCAGCTGGGTAGCATGTCGACCCCGGCCCGGAGGAGGCTCATGCGGGATTTCAAGCGGTAAGGGCCTTCCCCTCCACCTAGATGACGACTCCTCCCCGGAGCTGCGGAGCTGCAGGGCGGGGATTCGGGACACCTTCCCATGATGACCCTGAGAGGGCCGGCCGTGGGCCCAGCGGAACCGGCGTAGCCCAGTCCTCGCCTCAGCTCCTGCTCCTGCTCCCTCATGTTTGCTTCTCAGGCGACCTAAGGAATTTCGATACTTCCTGTCCTCCTGTTCCCCCCATCCAAAAAAAGTAAAAAGGGGGCGATCGACTGGCCCAGGGTTTCCTGCTGCCCCTGTCGGCTAGCTGCCCGACGTCTCGCCCAAGCGGTCAAACATCAACCCCCCCCGCCCGTGCTCCCTGCGGCGCCCCCTTCCTGCCCCCTAAAAGTGAGCTCATGCCGGAGCGTGTTCCTCGCCTGCTGCACCAGTCAGCTTTGTTTCGCGGCTCCGCGATCTCCTTGAGGAGCCGGGTCGCACCAAAACCCTCCCTCCATTCCTTTCCTTGTGAGGGTGGGGTCCACTGTGCGATGTCCGGAGGTGGTTACCCATCCCCCGAAACCCGATCTGCCCCCGCCCGCCGGAAAGGACCTTGCGACCTGCCTTAGCGATCTGGGACCTTAGAGCTGGCCACTCCGGCTGCCAGGGCCTTCTGGAACTCCGCTCTGGCAGATGAATAAAGCCCTATCTATAGCCTCCAAAGTCTGGAAAAATGCCTTCCCTTAGACTGGCGCTAATCTGATACTCCCTGGGCCTCCCTTTGTCAGACAGGGTTTTGTTAGGAGGTATTGGAGTGGTAAGGAAGAAAATGACTTTTTTCAGTTGTTTACCTTTTATTGACTACTTAGAGATACGGAGAAGAATAAGAAGTGAGAAAACTTAGCATTGCGATACTCTGTACAGTTTTCTTTTGGGGACACTTGCCCTGATTGAAACAAAATATCTAGTGTAAAAACTTGGATTTGCCGCTCAGGAAGTAACCTTTCAACTTCGCCATTATCGAGCCTTATGAGAGACATTTGGAAGCCATTGTTTTGGGCTTTGACCAACTTATTTAATTCATTCGTAGAGGCCCTTAGCCATTTAAGGTAGGCGTCAAGCAGTTTTGTTCCCTAAATCTTCTGGTCATGGTGGCCTCATTTGCTTGAGATTGACTAAAAAGAACCCATTATGTGCACTAACTGCAAAATATTATGCCACATGAAAATAGCTTTATATATATTTGTGTATGTGTACAAAATAGCATTTTTTTAGTTGCGGTGGTGGTCTTTAGAAGATGTTCTATTTGGTGTATAGTCGTTTTTCTTTGTTTTTTTGAGTTGGAGTGTTACTCTGTTGCCCAAATTGGAATACAGTGGCGCCATCATGACTCACCACAGCCATAAAATTGTAGGCTCAGGTAAAATCCTCCTACCTCAGCCTCCCAGGTAGCTGAGACTACAGGTGCCCGCCACCACACCCAGCTGATTTTTTGTTTTTTGTAGAGACTATATGTTGCCTAGGCTGGTCTTGGAACTACTGGGCTCAAGCAATCCTCCCACCTCAGCCTCCCAAAGTGCTGGGAATATGGGTGTAAGCCACCGTGCCCAGCAAAAGTCATCTTTAGGAAGCTTGAAATCAGTAAATTTGATTGGCACTCACGACTGAAATTTAAATAAAACTTCTAATTCATGCCCATTGTCCCCTGACACCTTGTGCATTTTTCCAAGCGTCTTCGGGTTCAAGAATTTGACTATGATGAGTGTTGGAAGCTTCCACTCTCTAGTCTGAGAGGAGGATTTGGTGTTAGTGCAGAGCCTTTAAAAAAGGGATTGGCGGAAAACTTAAATGAAACTTCTAATTACTTTTAAAAGCCATTGCTGTCTGAAGCAAAGGGGATAAAGTAAATCTCCTGCCTAAAACTAGTTTCCTAATTACATTGAATATAAGTGTTTTCAGTCCTTCAATGTTTTCACTGAGGCTTGCTTTTTTCTTTGTTTGTAGTCATTGTTGTACAGGTGGCCTGTGGTTAAGACTCACAGGCTTTGCATGTGTAGAACAGCAAAGTCAATGGTTTTGTGAAAATATTTTTTGCTCTTGAGTTTTTAAACTTTTTTGGTTCAAAAGAGCAGTCTGGGCATTGATTCTTGAAGAGATAATATCTTAGTCTTTTGACATTTGAAGAGAGATGATTTCCAAACCCTTTGGGCTTTTAGATAATTTAGAGAGGCATCTAATAGGGATAAATACTCAGTCTATATGGTTCATTCTGGTTCTGCACAATAAAAAGGAAATGGACTTAGTATTTGACTCAAAATAGGTGGTACAGTGTCTATAGATGTTCTGTGTGGCCTCAGTGGCCTTAATGTTCAAGTTTTTAAATTACTGCTCTGGATTTCTAGATTACAAGAGGACCCACCTGTGGGTGTCAGTGGCGCACCATCTGAAAACAACATCATGCAGTGGAATGCAGTTATATTTGGGTAAGTTGAAAGATTTAACAGATAATAAATGTGTACTGATTTTTTAATGAAAGGTGAACATATGACACCTATCTAGAAAGGGAGACCAACGTGGAATGAGGGATCTTAGGGACTGAAACGGCAAGATTAATTAGAAAAAAAATTTAATAAGAGTTTGCGGTTATAAAATTTATTTGCTCTTTGATGTTATTACATATGGTTTATAATCACTTTGGATTTTACTTTAAAAATATACTTTGAAACTAAATGGAATAGAATAATGACAAAGAAAAGATAAATTATTTTATATAAAATATATCACACAAATGTTTATGCTATCATTCTATTGGAGCTATAAAAAGACTTGGATCCAGTAATACTGAGAACTTCTACTGTGGTAAGAATTGAAGTGAAAATGTTTCATAGCCCGGTGTGAAATAACTGAATGGAGTCATTTGAGAATCGGTTTACATTTCACATAAAATATATATAGCACACATGCTTTTTAATTTAAAATTTCCTTATACTTTTTCTTTGGTTTTCTGGGCTTGATTTATTTCTCTTTCATTCTTTTTATATTAGCATTTTGCACAAACAAGTAAAAGAAATACTGTAATAAACAGAATTCTGACACCTTGCCATCTGTTAGTAGAGTTTACACGTAAAGACTAGTAGGAAATTAATGAGGCTGATCTTTTTTTTTTTTTTTTTTTTTTGAGTTGGAGTCTCACTCTGTCGCCCAGACGTGCAGGCTGATCTTTCTAGAGTAAAGTACCTCTGTTACATTCAGGCTGTTAGCCTGCTGCTTTGAGATCCTGAATGTGCCTTGCAGGTATAAAGAAAGATCTGAGCAAAAGAATTTGACTTTCTTGGTGATATCAGCCATGCTTAGCTGATCTGAACAAGAGTTACTGCTCTTTTGGAAAACAGGACATTTTGGTTTAGTTGTCATAATTATCTGGTTTTTTTGGGGTTTTTTTTTTGAGTTGGAGTCTCACTCTGTCCCAGACTGGAGTGCAGTGGCTGCTCCCGGCCACCGCAGCCTCGACCTGCTGGGCTCCAGCGATCCTTCCACCTCAGCCTTCCAAGTAACCGGAACTACAGGCGCGCGCTACCACACCCGGCTCATTTTGATTTATTGTAGAGATGAGGTCTCGCCAAGTTGCCCAGGCGGGTCTTGAACCCACGGGCTCAGGCAATCCACTCACTTCAGCCTCCCAAAGGCGTGGGATTACAGGCTGAGCCACCAAGCCTGGCTTAGTTGTCATAATTATCTTAAGTGGGTATTATTTCCATCTTATTGCTGTCAAATGAAAAGGCGACTTTTTCTTTTAAGAATACACATATTTACAAAATTGTCGGTATTTGTGTACTGAATTATTTTGGACACATTTTTTGTTTTGTTAAACCAACCTAAAAGGAAAACATAGAAAATGAGTTATTCTTTGTGCCCGAATCTATGATTATCCAGGACTATGGTGGTAGCAAACCACAATACCTTTAAAACCCCACAAATCAAGCCGGGCTCCGTGGCTCAGCCTGTAATCCCGTGCCTTTGGGAGGCTGAGGTGAGTGGATTGCCTGAGCCCGCG